TCTCTCTCTATATATATATATATATATATATATATATATATATATATATATATATATATATATATATGTTGAGTTGTGTGTTCTTATGAGTTTCAGAAACTTATAGAGATACTTTTTGAAGCTGGTAACCGAAGGATTTATGTTAGTTACAAGGGTAAGAGTGTCGAACAAGGTAAGATATTATCTTGTATTATTATTTCGTAATTATGTTTACGTAGCGTAAGTGTAAGGGTTGAATAGAACCTGTATAACATCCAATTTTTCGGTATGTTAATATTTTCATATTTTTATTAGTTAGTTTTATTAATTTATTTAATAATGAAAAGACAAAATTGCAAAAATGGTCCCTGTGGTTGGCAAAATTATGCGACTTTGGTCCAAAACAATACCTTGGTGCACCACTGGTCTAAAATTGGATATTTCTATTGATTTTGGTCCCTCACACTAACTTTCGTCCATATGTTCCGTTACCTACAATATATGTTGTATTCATATATGTTGTATACTGTAAAATGTAAGATGAACTGTAAAATGTAAGATGAAGTACATAAAGTTGGAGAGAAGAGTAAATGCATAAATAGATATCATAACATACCATAAAAATGATTATACAAAGAATGAAATTAAAGATATTGGTGAAGATAATAACGAATTAAATTTGGTTAACAAATATAGAGATATAATTGGAAAACATGTGTCGTGATTTTATATTAAATAAAAATATGTATCAAAAATAGATGAATTAAATCATTTTTAATAAGATTAAATTAAATGATGGTTTCTAAATTGATAAGGGTACATGATTTTGAAATGATTTAAAGATAATATTTCCTTATTAAACGATTTAATCATAAATGTCTGGATTCTATATATTGAAACATGATAAATGTACATATAATTATTTTGGAAAGTGTGTATGATTGACGGTATAATTGGAATGATAATCTGCATAAATAAGAATATAAGATTCATGAAAGAAATTAAAATTTGTAAAGTATGTGCTCATGTTGACAATTATACTATTGGTCATAAGAAAATTACCTTTAAACTTAAAACCAATTGACAATAATAGACTTGGTCAACATAGTTTGTTATTTAAACTTAAAACAAATTGACTATAATATACTTGGTCAACATAGTTTATTACGAACAATAAAAAAAATTATTGTTATAAAATTTTGTTTGTGGAATAACAAACTCAGTGACTTAAGCCAAAGATTAAGGAGATTACCATTAAACTTAAAACAAATTGACAATAATAGACTTGGTCAACATAGTTTGTTATTTAAACTTAAAACAAATTGACAATAATAGATTTGGTCAACATAGTTTGTTACGAACAATAAAAAAAAATTAATGTTATAAAATCTTGTTTGTGGAATAACAATAATAATAATATAGTAAACCTGCCATAAAAATTTAACACGCATGTATTACTTAAGCCACACCACAATTCCAGATCATTAAAAAATGATTAATGCTTTTTGTAATCACACATATTTTAATCAATCCCAATTTCAAGTTGTTGGTGACAAACACGATGCAGGAGATGCATTGATGGAGAAGATAAGCAGCTCGTTATATATAATAAGATGGCTTAATGATCATTGATTTTGAGGAGGAAGAACATGGATAAAAATTGGAGAGATCATCGACTCTTGATATTATCTTCGTCAGAGAGAGAAATAGGAAGAGAGCAATCCGTATTTTGGAGGAAAAATGGTTTTAAACGGTAACAAAAGACATATTTGTAGTTCCTTTTGTTATGATGACATCAGCTAAATTGATTCACATGGTTTAAAATAATCAATAAAAAACATTGAAGGGCCAGATTGTTTTATGTGATGTAATTAGGTTTATGGTTTAATATATATAGATATATAGAGATTGGTAATCCTTTGTAAACTTGGATCATGGTTGTGGACTAGGCCGCCGGTATTTATGTAATTTTCATTTTCTTTTTTAATAGAAAGTGGACGAGCGGCTAGTCCAAAACTATCAATGGGTAGCCTAACGTTTGGGTTTCCCATGAATCGACTCTCTGTATTCTTTTATATTCCACCGACGACATCGTTGCTTTTGGAAAAAAGAAAAAAAGCATTCAGAATAATTCTCCGACAGTCAAAAGAAAGGGACAACGACTGCCGACGGTTGGCTAGGTGGGTCGTTCTCATTTACTGTTTCGCTTTGTTTATTAGCTTCTCCGGGCGGTGGACCGTTGCGACTTGCGACTGGCGAGTGGCCACGTACGATGACAACATTCTTTCTAATTCTCCGGTAAGTCGACTACTGTGCAATTCTCCTTCCTTGTCCTTTGTTTTCACCTTTTTTAGAGTTTTTGTAAAACTTATTTTGGACTATTTATCTAAAAAGTATTGGAAGCTATAACGGTCATCCGAATACAGATAAAAGTTGTACCTTCACCATTTCAGCAAATCACTAACATTTTGATTTCTACCTTTTAGATTTCTGCCTTCGACCTATACAGATTGTTGATAGTTCCTTCTTATAATCGTTGTTTATATTCTTCGAGCACAACTGGTAAATCATATTTTTTTTTCCGGTCCAAGTTTATAGTTATAAAATTTTGATCAATCTTAACCCTTGATTTTAATATAAGCCAAACTGGTGTTGCACAATGCTTTGGTATAATTTTATGCAAATTCCTTGTTCCATATTTTTGTAGATCGACCACAAATGCATCCTGCTGATGTGTTTTGTGCAATAGGAACTTTGATCTTCATGATTTGAAAAGCCATATCGGTTCATTTGATATATTTGTTACAGTATGTTATTCTTTTCAAATAAGTCGATTAAGTTAATGTATTGCATATGCATCTTTAAGATTTCGTTTGCTAATGCTAAGATGCTTTTTGCATGAAAATCAAATGGACAAAACCCAAGATGTTCTCTAACTTGTTATTGTCTTATTTCTTGACTATTTTTGGAAATGTTGTTGCTAGAAATGGCAGGGTTTACTTCTTCACAAAGTAGGAAAGGAAATTTGTACAAAGAAATGGCAGAACTTACTGTTTCAAAACCAAAGCAGCAATGGGAGTTGGAGGGACCGATTAGGAATTGGTTGGAGCTCCCATATGATGTGGTGGCTAATATTCTATACAGAATTGGACCTATTGATATACTTGAGAATGCTCAGAAAGTTTGCACCACTTGGTGTAAAATCTGCAAGGATCCAGCCATGTGGAGGGTCATTCATATGAAGACAACTGTGGGACCATTTCGGCAGGTATGGGAAATATGCAGGCATGCTGTGGATAGAAGTCAAGGCCAGTTGGTAGATATCAGCATAGTGGAAGTTGTCAATGATCAGCTTCTTCAGTATGTTGCTCATAGGTATGTGAGCTTATATTAATTGGCGTTTGTGCATTTGTGCTTATAATAAAAGTTAAAGATGCTATGCATATATAGCTTCTTTATCCTCCCCTATTGATATTGGATTTGAGAATTAGATAAGTGATTTTATATAATTTTTGGATGTTTTAACAGATCAAGTCAGCTCAAACGGCTTGAATTTGTAAGTCACAATTGTGATATACGTTGGAACTGGACCCAAGCTTTGAAAAAATTTCCAATGTTGGAGGAACTCAATCTCTACAGAATACAAATCTCTACAGAAGCTATCGAAACTGCTGGCCGTTGTTGCCCAATGCTAAAAACACTGAAAGTGAATCAAGAAAGTTGTATGTTTTGGCATGGAGGTACCGATGAGAAGTCCTTAATGATCCGTAATAGGACAGCTAAAGCTATTGGAGAAAATTTACATGACTTAAGGCACCTTGAACTCATTGGAAACACCATGACAGATATTGGGTTGCAGGCGATTCTGGATGGTTGTCATCGTCTTGAATCTCTTGACTTGCGTCTGTGCTTGTACATAAATCTCAAGGGAGACATGGGAAAAAAATGTTCAGAAAAGGTTAAATGTCTAAAGCTACCTAAAGATTCTCTTGAAGGATGTCCATACATTCATATAAATCATATCGATTGCATGATATGTTTATATTATGATGATGCTGATGATGATGATGTTTTTTATTGAAGAATGGAGTTATTGACTTATCCTATTGTCGGTAAGTTATCCTCAATTTTTTTCCTTTAAATTTATTGTAAAAAATCAAGTCAAGCTTTTTCCATAAAATTTTATTCATTAATTGTCATTACTCATTAGTTTCTTGAATGATTTTCATTAAACTCATAATAATTATTACGTTTGAAGATACTAATTGCTGCTGATTTGTAGATTTTGAAGGTTTGGAATTTTCCCCCAACACTTACTTCTTGGATGACCAGACAAGATAATGACAACACGGCCAACTCTATGCTAGCTGCACCTCTAAGTAGAGATGGATCATTTTGATTTCTATTCTCAAAGTTGTGTAAGGACTAAAGATTTTATCTTGAATTGTTGGTTTATGAAATATTTTTTGGGTTACTTGTATCTTAAATTATGTTTGAAAAACCTAATTACCCCTTTGACGGGTATTTTTGCGTGACATATATATGTTGAAGTGCTGATGTTTGTTTTTGTTATGTTAACATGTTTACTATATTAGCATGATTAACCTGACCATCAAAATGCTAAAAACAATAATTGCAATCAACAAATTTATTTCATAGAATGTTTTCAAAATTATCTAGGTTTTGCAAACAGTTTGAATTAGAAAAGGTTGTAAGTAATTATGAATTGATCATAATTTTTTTTTGACTTGTAACAACTAGCTAGGGACTGTGATGATTTTCAGGGCTGTTAATTTTTTTTTATTGGCAAGACGAATTAAATACATTAAAAGTAAAAGGAAAAAAAGCAGACATTACTAAACGTCACAGGCCAGAAGATAAGGGGTAGTTTAGACTATTGGGCAAAACTCTTGCAAATGTTTTGGGGCTCACCAAAACAGTATCATTGCAATCGAGTAAAACCTTTACAACCTTGATTTTGCACCAAATGGTTGAATCTTCTAGATAAATCTCCAAAACAAAGCCGCTGTTTTCCAAGCAGCACCAATGCCTTTCTTGGGAGCTATTAATAGCAATGTACTTCATGATGAGAGTTATAACTATCTACCAAGCTGGTAGCTGTTTTGCTTTGTTAAACCTTCATCTGGGGAAAATATTGGAGCTTCATCTGTATGTGATGCAATATGATGTATGATCCATATGTTCTTGAGCTTTGACCTCCAACAAAAACGAACACTAATTCAAAATTAGGCACTAATGCACTGATGCAGCTTCAAGATGTTGTAGCATTACTGGTAACTTCTAAAGCAGCAAACTTTATCATCGAACCAGATTTGACTGAACAAGAATTTCAAAAGTGTATTAATTTATTTGTAATCAGAACGGAGTTTAAAAAAAGTATTTTATTTAGTTTATGCGGTAACAAAACATGATAAGCTGATAAGATGTTTGGTGTTAGACAAATTGAGCTTATACATATAAAATGATAAGGAAAAGGACATATTTATTTATTATTCATGAAAAGCACAAATCAAAACTAAAAAAAATAATAATGGAGCTTCAACGTATTTGTATATTTCTTGAACTTTAATATTGGCTTGAATGGTCGAAATATTTGTGAATATAATGATGTGATATTAAATTGGATAATAATAACAATAA